AGAAACACAGAATGCTTATATCAATTGTTCACAATAATACGTCGGCTCTTCAGCATAAAAGTGTAACTTAACAATCTCTAAACACTCAAAATATAACTTCTACAGATTTCATGCCCTTTATAGATTTGAAATATATTTATCTTGCTATACCATGCACACCGCTGCATGAGGTTTATATATCAAAATCCACAGGTGGATGTTATACCATTTTTCTATAGGTAAGGTTTTCCTGAAGGTAGTGGGCAGCCTCAGTCAGTGATTGCTGCCTTTCATGATGGAGAGCACACTGCCAAGAGTTCGCTGCTCAGGATTTCCTGTCAGAGAAACAGGTATGGCATTTGTTTGCTAAGGCTTAGGGCAAGTCCAAATGGCTTTATACAGCATTTTTTTCCACCAAGTGAAGCATGCTTATTTAACATCTTCAGACTGTCACATGAATTATTAGACATCAAAATCCAAATTCTTTCACAAGCAGGTGACAAACCTTACTTATCTGTGGCACAACATACCCAAAGAGCATAGAATTAGATCAGACTAACAGTGTTCTGCTATTTTCAGTCCTGCTTCCAAGATACTATGTTAGGTTCCTATCAGGGAGAGCCACGGCAGTGAATGCAGTGAACTCCCCCATCACCAAGCTTGCAATACACTTTACCCTGTATTTATTTCTTTGAGCTGTTGGATGCAATGAAAAATCATAATGCAGAAGGCAACAGAAATTCCAGTGACTATTTACTTTGAAAACATTGATTTTCTGAGGTTCTTTAGCTAGTGAATAGATCCCCAGAGTCATTTCAATCATTCCAGATGTACTCACACAGAGAAATGTTCATTGTAACACACTCAGAAGGCAGACTGTGGTTTTCTCATCAGTTCTATTGAAGTCTATCAGAAAGACAGAATGTTGTCATTTTCAGCTCCGTAGATTTTGGAGAAGCTATATTACCTAGCGTCCTGACTGTATATCATTTTCTCTTCTTCGAACCTTTCTCTGTAAGCACCAGACTTATCTTGACTGGATAGACAAGAAATTGCAAGTATAGACTTTCAGACACAAAAATTCTGATAAGTAGATTTATTGTAGAAAAGCTAATGAAGCCATTACAAGAAAATTCCATCAACAGTTGTATATCAAATGAAAGCCCTATTTATAGTGAAATCAATATTCAAATATTTGCCCCTTTCTAACTTGCATTGTGTAATGGACTAGAAGCTACTGTCGTATTTATTCAGATGGCATCTACATCAGCGGTTTTTCTACCTATGCTTCTTTAATTAAGATTCATAGGACAGTGGCTTGGCCTTCCATCTTTACATTAGTTAAACATTCGTCTATATGGTTATCCTTGGAAATTTTCCCTCCAGTTGTTTTTTCTATAGCTGTGTCATGGTAGAAACTGACTGGGCTGATAGGTGGAACTGGTCTAGTCAAAGTTTCTTGTTCTAGGAGATAGGGTGAGTTAATTCATTCTCTAGATGCCTCTGTCAGACCAACTGGAAGGAGCCTTCATGGTGAGAATCCAATGTGGTTTCTTTAATAAAAAATAAGGCAATAGAAATGGCTATTCAGCTGATACTATAATTGCACTTTAGCAGAGATGCATGACTTGACACTTCAGACTTGCATGAGGCCTCTGAAAGTCTTGGGCACCACCCAAAAGGCTTTGAAATTGTGACAGAATAATGCAATGGGATAAAATTGTGTTTAATAATTTAATTATATCTGTATTAAATTACATTTTGTTTTTTGTCTTGTTTGGGGTGCATTCCCTAGTTTGCCACCCAAAGGCCAAATGAGTCCCTTAAACCACACCTCTGCCCTAAAGATATGTGCTCCTTTCTAATTAGTATCAGACCTTATTCAAAGAACAATCTGTCACAAAAAGAACTTAGTTCAGGTAGCATTTTGGAATTACTTTCTCTGCCATTTTTATGCTGGTATGTCACCAGAGCTGGTGTGGAAAGCCATTTCCAGAGTTATAGTTTGCCCAAAATTTTGTGGGATGTATTCTCCACTCCTCTTACTACACCTAATTCTTTCTTTTTGATATTTGTCTTCTGCACTCATAGTGTGGGATCAAGCAAAACAAAGTATGTATAATTGGTTGTGGTATGAAACAACCACATTCAGTCCTTATGTAGAAGAAACATCCTATGAGAACTCTCTCTTGGTACAGCATTCTGGATCTTTGGCATTGAGCTCCCTCACACATGTTCTCTGCAGTCTTACTTCTAATGCAAGGTAAGAAATAGTCTGTGAGGAACAGGAGAGATTCTTTCCTATGACCAGAAAGAAAAAAAAACATGTAAGATTAATACTGAAAACAGAATTCTTTTATACATTAGAAGAGGGGTTGTGAAATATCTTAACAGCGTCTTTTCCTAGTGCGGGATAGGGAATTTGCGGCCCTCCAAATGTGCTGAACTATGGCTACCAGTGCCCCACTCAAGGATATGTGATGCCCTGAGCTCCTCAGAATCAATGTGTTCTAATATTTTTTATAACATAGCTGAGGTAAAACCCAACTCTTTGATTTATTTTATTTATTTATTTAAACAAATTTATATGGCTGCCCAACTCACACATTGATGACTCTGGGTGGCTTACAGAATTAAAAT